AATTGCTGTATATGCAAAATATGCATCAAATTCTACTAGCAGTCAAGTATAGGTGCCTATATTATAAAATAAAAGATTTATTATACAATTTATATAATAATATGTTATTATATTATATTATATGAAATAATGCAATGTATGTATTTATTATAATGGATGATACGATATGATAACAACTTTGTTTTTGATAATAACAAAATGATAACGACGGTGGTGGTCTAATCGACTGCGTATAGACAGACCCCTCTGAATGTTCTTATCAAGAATTTAAAAAAAGTCGCGTGATACTAGCGCCCTCTATGACCTGGTATATCATATACCCGCGATTATATAAATTATAAATATGTTTGTAAAGTTATGGTAACATGGTATAAGAGTTCTTACTGTAGAGGGCGCTAGTAAAACGCGACTTTTCGTCAGATTTGATAAGAACATTCGGCGCCGCCGTAGTTTTATTACTCTATGGGCGCCGCTCAACGCTGTGATCCAATATAGGCCGACGTGCAACCATAGTATCTATATCCGTGGTGATAACCATACTCTATGGTGATAACACGATATAGATAACTGACAAATATTATGTTCATGACACGGACTAAGAATTAAGATATCTTAGTCCGTGGTTCATGACAAAACCATTGGGGCTTACGGTTTTTTTTTTGTCATCAATTACTGTTATCGCATTAAAATATAAACCTTTTATATAAGCCGTTTAGGCATATAGCAATTTTGTCTTCAAAGATAAACTTAAGTCGAATAAGTTGGCTATCTAGTTGTTTATATGTGTCTATGGTTTTTGCACTCCAGAAGTCAGAATGATACGTATAAAATATTATATTATCTGACATACATGTAATTTGAAAAATAGTAATATCAGGATCTGTAGAATTATTATTACAAAAAATTTGGAAATAATGTGTCTAGAAGGGCCGGCCCCTAACCTCCCCTGGATCCGTCCCTGACCTAATTTTACATTGTTTTAAATAAGGATGGGCTATACCGGTCGGAAAACCAGAATACACAGCGCTCGAAACGCTCCAAAATAAGCGGTGTATAACCCGGCCTCACCCGTACACATTCTCTTCAATAAATTGTAAATTTGTAATTAAAAAACGACAAACCGTAAATACTTAATATTGTCACCAAATATTTATATTATCATTTCCTACACATGGTATAATATTTTAACTCTTCTACCTACAAACATTTCAAATTTCAATTTTTGTTATGGTTTTTTTTTCTATAATTATTCATAAATATCTATACAATTTTCTATAAAATATCGATGGGTCAAAACCTTGAAAATTAAATACAAGATTCCTCAGATTTATTATAGCTATTTAAAAACATCAAATATACATAATATGTACAATTTATTTTATAGGAAACAATTTGAAGTCAAAAACACTAAAATTTACAAATTATTTGAACTTAAAAATGTATAACATGTTACTATATTAGAACGATAAATCATAAATGTGAATTTTTAAAACCCAATTTATACCTAAAGTAGTAAAGTATATTAAATATATTATATTGATTTTGACATGCAGAGTGATTCACCAAGCATGCTCACTCACAGCTCACCCCCATGTTTTCTTTCAATAATGAATTTATTGTAATTCTGATTTTTGTAATTTTTAAATATATCTACTCAAAGACTATATTTTTAAATTCTTAAATTGTTTTGTATATCTTAAGGAGTGTCCTGTGGTGATACAAACTTCTGTTTTTCAAATAAGAACCACCCTATTTTACTGTAAACTAATTGGTGAATAATTTTTTGGAAAATTTTGATGTACCACATTCAAAATTCGAATGTGTAGTTTCTTAGTTATGAAAATGTTTGTATTAAGTATAATAGTCCTTAAAAGTGGTTTTCCATAAATATAAAATAGACGTAAAATTGGATATAGTATTTAATATACTTGGCCATCTTTATAAATTATTAATATTGATAGATTAATGTAAATGATTACAATTTTCAAATCACCACAGTCCCCATATCTTATAAGCTCATTAGTTATTAATCATTACTATAGGACCTTTTATCCTTGAAACACAAAATTAAATAACTCAAAAACTACTGCTACTGACTCCGATACGTCAAAAATTTCAGAAAAATTATCTACTATTTAATTTATAGTTGAATAGAGATGTTCTCATTTGAAAAACAGAAGTTTGTATCTCCACAGGACACCCCTTAAGTAGTACCAAAAGTCTCAAGAATTTAAAACTATGGTCTAAAAGTATATTTCAACATTTTAAAAATCAGATTTTGAATAACTGCATTATTGTAGAAAAAGAAGGGGTGAGCATACGAGGCGAATCACTCTGTATACATCTAAATTAAACCACCATCGTAGTAATTGGATAGTGTCATAAAATTATGCATTTCAACCACTAACGGTTAGATCAGGTTTTTGTAATTTTCTTTACAAATATGGTCTACACATATTGTAAAGAGATTTCAAACATAATTAATATACCCTACCGTCTACCACAATGTTATAATTTATACATTTCAAACAATATTACAGCGCTTCCTGGCGGTGTATTTTATTAGGGCGTGCACATAATTCGTAATTTAGTATCAAGGTTTAAAATTAGAAAGACCATAATATTTTACAAGTATTTTATTAAAAAAAACGGGACAAACTTTTTTCGTTTTTGGCTCAACTCTAAAAACAGCCTCCATCAATTGTAGTGGTTTTTACGTTTTAAATGATATTTTGGAGATAATGTTCGCCTGTTACCCTGTTGTAGGTATGTGATAAATGTCCCCCTTGTTGTGGGGTTTCATAAAATATCAATAAAGGACGTCATAATAATATTATGTCTCGTGCTGACAACTATTCGTCACACTATTTGACTTTTGTCCGTTGTCCATGTACCGTGTACCGTGACCAGTTCTTTTTAAACTAATTAAAAAAAATATGATAAAAATGTTTGTAACAGTGAAATTAATTCATTAAGTTGTTTATTTACATGAAAAGTAAGATGGGTAAAGTCTGATCTCACCAAAATGTTGAGCATGTAAGTACAAAACATTTTCCAAAAATAAAATAAAATTTCCAAATATTTTTTGAAAAATCGTGCATTTTTAAGCTTTTGGACCATAACTTTCATAGTAAGTTTGAGTTTGAGCGACTTTTACAAAAACTAACATTAAGTATATAATTATACTTGGTTGTAGTATAAATTATTTATGAGAACACTTGTTTTGAATTTTGAACAAGCGAACATTTTTTATCAACATTTGTTAAAGAAGACTTATAATAATCGAAAATTTCATACGTCTATAAATAGCTCAACATGAGACAAAATAGAGTAGCAAAAATGTTGTGTATAGAAAATGTTAGTATAAACAATCAGTGAAAATGGCAAATACCTATTGTTAGAATCGGTATTTTGTATGACGGCAAAATACGCTAGCTCACCATACGGCGGTGATTCGGGTCAGGATAAAAACAAGACAAGAACTCGGTTGTTGTTGTTTAGTTTATTTCAATGAGAGTATAAATGTGTAACAAAACGTGGTTGGGCCCGAACGGTTGTACGGAGGTACGCGGCGGCGAGACGGCGATGCCGGACCTTTACAAAGCGGACTTGAGACTGACTAGAGTACGGACATGTCGCCGTAGCGGTGATCCGTACCGGTAACTTGGGCACGAGGAACAGTGTGACCAATCTTGGGCGCACGGTACCTCGGCCCTTACATATAAATGGGAACAAAATTTCTGGGTGCCAACACTCGGCCTTCCTGGCCTGTGGGATTGCCCTCGATCCCAAACAACCGTAATAAATCAAACAGAGTAAAATAGAAAAACTTACAAATAACAAATTGGTAATACAAAAAAAAATAATTTAGAGCTCATTCGAGCTGGTAATCATTGAACCGGGCTGGACGCCTCCTAGACCGGCTGGGTCTGCAGCGGTATTCTGTAACTCGATAAGGTAGCTTAACGACAACTTTCGGTTCGTTAAGCTAACGAAAATTCTCTTATCAAATATAAACGATAAAAGCGATTCTGTACTACAGTTATTCGTTAACCTAACAACTATTTTCGTTAAAACGGTCGATAGTAGTAAAAATAAAATATCGTTAACTTAATACACACATCAAGACCCCTCGATAATACTTACCGGGGATGGATAAGAGGAATAACGTCATATTTCGTGTTATCATTGATTTATTATCGTAGTTATTTTATTATTTACAATTTTCAAAATTTCAATTTTGAATTTTGATCTCGTGAACTAATGTGAAGTAATTATTACAAGTACGATTTTTATCTTAGATACCTAGACATGGCTCTAGAATTTTTATGGTGGGAACTTATGGTGTTAGAAGAAAGAGTTCGTTTACAAGAAAGGCGTATTGAAAGAAGGGTTTTGAGAGATGAACAAAATCCTTTTGATCTCCCTCTCGAAGAATTTATATTTATGTTCCGCATAAGCCCGGAATTAGCATTTGACGTCATAAATATTATTAGGCCTTTATTAAAAAATAAACGTTCTTCAGGGTTATCTCCAGAAGTGCAAGTAAGTTAATTTAATTTCAATGCTTCGATTTTATTAAATTTATGATTTTGATTTAATTTAATATTAATGTTTTGTTTCAGTTCCTAGTTACTGTTCATTTCTATGCTCAAGGTAGTTATCAAAGAGGTTTGGGTGGTAACTCTATCCTCAACATAAGCCAGCCATCTGTGAGTAGGTCCATCAGTATTGTCACAAATGCTATAAACCAACGTCTTTTGAGACAGTGGGTAAAATTTCCAATGACAACTACAGAAAGACAGAAAGCCAGAGAAAAATTTGAAGCAGCACCCCAACCTTTTGAAGGCACTTTAGGAGCGATTGATTGTACACATATCAATATTCTAGCTCCAAATATCCACGAAGAGGCATATGTTAATCACCATGGTAATCATTCGCTCAACGTTCAAGCCGTAAGTATTACAAGTATTACCTGTTAGCAGTAAAATATATGTGTATTGTTTATGTAATTTAAAACTCGTATTATATATTTTCTTTATAAGATTGTTGATCCGGATTTGAAAATTTTGAATATAAATGCCAGGTATCCTGGGGCTCGCAATGATTCATATATATGGAGTGTATCTGCTGTGCGACAGGGAATGGAATTTCATTTTAATAATGGTGAACGTCGTACATGGTTGATTGGTAAGTAATTTAGTTAGTTTGTATACCAAATCACTAACTAGTTAAAAACAAAAAGTAATTAGTTATTGTTGTGGTTTTTTTTTCACTGCAAAAATCCTTGTTCCATTTAACAAAAAACTGCTGAATTCCGTCTGGATATTAATCATGGGATAATTAATAATTGATATTACATTTATAGTATTTTGTGATTGATACATTTAGTATATTGGGTTTTTAAATTTATATTTTAAACTATAAAAGAAACTAACTATTACGCTTATATTTTTGCTACTGTTTAATTCATTGTTTACCTATGTAATTGTTTTACCTAGGTGATGCTGGGTATCCGTTAGAACCATGGCTCATGACACCGTTACCTCATTATCCAGAAGGGACACGTCAATTTGAATACACCAAAAATATTTGCAAAGCCAGAAATGTGGTAGAAAGATTTTTTGGTGTATTTAAAAGTGTTTGGAGGTGCCTTTCATATCAAAGAGTACTAATGTATGCTCCTGATAAAGCTGGCAAAATAGTAAATGCTTGTGCAACACTCCATAACATGCGAATTCATTATAAATTACCTGTTCCCGAAGAAGATTTAGATGTTGAACTAAATGGTCAAAATATGGATGCAAATCTAGAAATACCATACATTGATCAACGAGGAGGTCCAAGAGCAGTGGCTAAGCGGATACAAAGACAAATCTTAGATCAGTTTGATAATTTAAGAGATGGAGAAGATGATTAAAATAATCAAAGGAGAACAAACACTGAAAAATGTAGAAATGTTGAAAATAAAATAAATGTTAATTAACAAACTCAGTCTTTTAATTTTAAAACTTAACATTTCTTTAAAGATTAAAAAAAAAATAACAATATTTATATGATATCCTTCATAGTAACTTAGATAATTTTTTTGAGATGTACAAATATTGTGAATCAAATAAATGTTAACTTTCAAACTCAATCTTTTAAACTTAAAACTTAACATTTCTTAAGATAAAAATAATTAAACAAAATTAAAAAAAGACTAAAAAAATTTTTAACAATATTTATATGATTAAATGGTCACTTGGGCTATTTTTTTTCAAGTATTTTTTCATACAATATTAACATCTTCCTTTCATTCTCTGTTCTTTGTATATCATTATCAGCCATTCTGTCAAGAGCCTTTCCAATCACCAGTAGAGAATCTGCTATAACTTTAATGGAATCAGTTTGTTTATCTGCAATAACATTGAATGTATTTCTTGCTGTTTGTAGCTGGCTTCTAAGATTTTGTTTCACTATTTCTAGAAGAATAAAAACAATCAAATTAAAATCACTATGAGATTTTTGAAGACTAAAGAAAACTATATATTTTTATTTACTAGTACTACCGTCTACCACTTGCCATGTTTTTTTTTGTTTTTTTTTTAAGGGTACCATATACAAATTATATGCCTGGTTACCAATACACAACCAATAGGTACAGTGGTGCCTCTACCCCAAATTGGGCCCCTGACTACAACTATACATTTAAATAACACTGTAACTTACTTGGTCGTTTAGAACTTGTAGAACCCCTTATATTGCTTTGATCTAAAGTTTTGTCAATTTCACTGGTAATAGCAAGTGTTGCATTTTCATCGACTTCAGCGAAGCCACAACTAATTGTTTCATACTCAATGTCTAATAATGTTTCAATATCATTTTCTACATTGGAATTCAAATGAAATTAGTAGGTACGTTGTACGTAAGATATAAGAGTGTGAGTAAAAAAGAAATAGGTGACAGATGCCTATGGTGGCGTAGATGAAGGGAATAGAACACAAATATAGAACATCGAAGAAGAAAAAACAAGACAAGCTTTTATAGCACTAATTACAAACCTTGATTATTGTTTTCTTCATCTACTACCAATGCCAAAGGCACAGGTTCTTTTAGATAAATACTACTATCACCTGAAGCAGTCCTTTGTACATTATTTTCCTAAAAATATAAGATTATTTATTTCCAATACAAACAAAAACTAATAGGTAATTTAATTTGAGTTAATAATAATTAATAACCAGTTGAATAAACTATTTTTCAACAGATTGATGACTTTGCAAAACTGTTAGTATTAGTAATTATGTTATCATTTACTAAAAAAATTATAATATGTAATCGTAATGTATATATTCTTAAAATACCTGCTCTTCGGGCCATGAGTCCGGACACGATGTCCCTTCAACATATTCATTCCCAATAATACTTAAAACTTTCTTGTCCAAATCTGACAGTTGAGGCATACTTGTTATTTTGTTGCCTGTTTGCACCCTTTCTCTTCTGAGCGCACTAACTTTTTTTGACGTTTTTGTTTTTTGATCTCTCCAAGACTATTTTTAGATCATAAAATAAAAATTCAATCATAAGCTTGAGATGTCTAAAGATATTTATCAATTGTGAAATTTATTGGTCATTGTAGCTTAGTAAATTTGGGGCTATTTATTGGTAAATTTTTTCCAAACTTAGCTCAGAAGCATACTTTTGAAAACATTGATATATAAAGAACATGACATAAAAAATATAGCCATCTGAGATAAACATTCAAATCCTACTATACAGCATATTACTTCATGTTTTTTTTTCAAATTACCTACTATTTAGTGAATCTATAGATATTTAATTGAACAACATAGTGCATGTAAATAGTAGGAATAATATTATATTATTAAAAATTGTACTTAAAATTAAATTAAAATATGAATCAATGGTAATCAAACAAAAAATTTTAGTACTTTTTATCAAGAATTGTATGTCTTATGAAATGTATTTATCTATTACCATTTCTGTATTATTATTTTATTATAATAAATGTAATAAGCTAATGCATATAATGACCAAAATTTGATATTAATTTATGAATTTTATTTAAATATGTATATATAACTTTTAATCAAATATATTTCTTTTACATATACAATAATGAGGATTGAAGGAAATAGGTTAGCTACTAATAGTTTTATTTATAGTGCTGTTTAAAAAGTGTGCTGTACCCAACACAAAATCTTGTGCACATCT